CGGTAGAGTTTGAATAATGCAGACTTGCAACGCTGCTTAAAAGTGATCGGTTCACCTCTCCCGTTCTCTCCTTCCCTCTTTCTCCCCTTCCCCTCTTTCCCTCTTCTCCACATCTCACGTTCCTGCCGGCGTGTCTCTCTCTCTCTCTTTCTCTCTCTCTAACTCTCTCTTCTTGCCGACGATCCCTTTAGAATCCCACTTCCAGTTCGTCTAAGAGTACGAACTAAGATTGATTTTAGATTGGGTGGGAATTGGGAATAGCGGGCCTGTTACTCTCTGGCAGCCCCGACCACCACCACCATCCGCCCGCTCTCTCTTCACCCTTTCTCTTTCTCTCTGTCATTCCCTTCCTTCGACATGCCATCTGACCTTCTTCTCTATTCTCTCTCTCTCTCTCTCTCTTTCTCTTTCTCTTACCTAGCTTCGTGTACACGCGCTTCGTTTACACATACCCCAGGTATGTAATATGTTCTTGTAACTGGAAAAGGTGTCGAGGGTGCACTGTACTTGCGACTGCAGTTATTCCCTCGGCGATTAGAGCGAGAGAAATATAGGGGAGAATTTGGATGTCGGATTTCTCTCTCTCTCTCCCTCTCTCTCTCTCTTTCTCCCTCTCTCTCAACGCTCACACAGCAATTACTAACGGCGTATCGTTAAATTTATATCGCAAGTGACGCATTATTCGATCGATAGATGAGTATTACAAAACCGGTCCTCGAAGGTCAATGAATAGTAAAAAATTAAGGTGTGTCTAATAACGGACAGGGACATTATATTCTATTATCCGTACGTACGAATGTATAAAACGGATATTAACGTGGCTCGCGTAATCGTGGCAGTCGCTCGCTCTTCATGCTCAATTTAACGTGTTTCGTCGTGTGTCTATAATCACCGCCGGCACGAATGGAATTATGGAAAAGGAATATCCGTCTCTTTGTGAACGTGACCGTTCATAAAAGCTGGTCTCTGGGCGAGATTTATTCTACTCGACGATCAACTCTCCCAGGAGAGTATAAAAGTGCCAAATTAGAGTGGTACAGCGAGACTGGGCCGGTGCCGTGCCTATATATATATATATAGGACAGGGCGAAAGCCCGCATTGCGGAATGAGAGATCGCCTATCGGGCTATCACAAGCCTCCCTCCGCCTCCCTCCCCCCTCGCGATGCCAATTTGCGAGAGATCGCAATTCCAGATGATGCGGGAACATTTGAATCGGGACAATCATTTAAACTGCCATTTAAGGTATCTCTCACTGGAACTAGCCATCTATTCCTACATTCTCGACAACTCGTACAGCAAATGATACGATATGTGTGTTTGCGCCTCGTTATTACATTTAAGACGTCCTGGTTTTCTTACTGCCGATTTCAGTCGTGGATAAGAATGCGCACAGCGCGTGTCAGCGAGCCACAACGCGTAAATTTGTCGGATCGAACGTTCCAGAAACGCTGGCTGTGCTTATGTGCTCGTCTTAAATCGAACAAATCGTAGCACATGGCAAAAAATCGAACGTGCAATTCTTTCGTCCGTTCGCATTTATTTTAAGTGCTCTGACATTTGAGAGATCCAAAGGAGTCGCCGAAATCTATCTGTCAATGATCTCGTGTAAGACAAGTGTCCTTGCTCCTGCAAGCTTAAAGAGATGTAAAATCGGGCATCGTTCGATATCGCGAGACAACGTCAGCGAGCAAGTTTAGCCAAGGTCTTCTCTGAGGTGTCCGTTATAAAAACATTTGTCCGTGACACGTCGATTCGTCCCGTTTTATTGTCGTAACTAGCGACGACGACGACGACGATGACGTGGTCGTGTCTATCTTGGGACGCGCCGACCGAAACGCCGCATTGCAGGCGCCCTTCTGAGACAACGACGCCTGGAATCGGCGCTGCTATTTTTCCATTCACGTAGACACTACTTGTATTCGCGAAATTTATGGAACTTCGCGGAAGTACGGGATTCCGTTCCGTATATTTCGCTGCTTCGAGAGTTCGGTTACTCCATAGCACTCTCCGCCCGATCTGAATCTCCGTCTCTTTATTCCTCTCGTTGCTCTTTACTTCGTTATTCGTCTTTATCCTTCGTCCTATTCTCGTGCTCACGGCTAGTAGCTGTGTTAAATATGCGATAGTTTAACCTTCCGCCAGTAATATAGGGACTTGAAGGCGATTTTTTGCTCGTAAACTTTGGGATAACTGATAGGTAGAGTTTGGTATCCCCTTCCCCTTCAAAAATTTAGGAGTGAGATTGTATGTGTCCAAGGGCGCCAATATTTATCTGTTTATTATTGTATTTCTGCATATGTACATATTATAATTTTGATAAAAATAAGCTGAAAAATAATTAACCTGCTGTAAAAATTATTTTATTATTTTTTTTTTTCTAAAATGAAAATCAATTTTCTTCCTCATAAAAATCTTCATTTCCACGTGTTCGGATAATCCAATTTCTTAGAGTCATATTTTAAAAGCGATATATTATTTCTTTCTGAAATATATAGTCTCAGATATTATAGCCTTAAAACGTTCTTTTATTCACTTATGTAAAAATTATGAGTTTTTAATCGAAAAATCACGTTTCCTCAATGTTCCTATTCCGATTTTAATGTGTTAAAATTACGATGGATACAATCCGATTTCCGCGATGGTAAGAACTCTTTATTAAAACTTCCATCGATGTCCGAGAATGTTGTAAAATTTTTACACAATTCGGAGCGGCGTAAAAACTTGAACCGGTTCTCAAAATCCCGGATTGCTAACGGAAGGTGCTGAATTACACGTTGCTAGCGGAGGGTTAAAGATCTAAACTAACTTTTCACTCGCGACGACGTAATCTTTTTAAGACGGGAGACAGCGGGCGCAGAAACAGAGAGGGAGAAGAAAAGGGCCGCGATAACTTTTACGACATTGTCGTTATTGCCGCGCGACCCGCCGATCGTAGAGTCGGCGCTATTTGGTCGTAGTCGCTCGCCGTAGATGGAAATCGCCCTGTCCGCGAGCTAGAGGAGATAAACGGGATAATGGGCGTTGGTCTGCATTTTGAAAATGATTCGCGCAGCGATCGGCGGCCGCTCCCGCGAGATCGATGCGCCAATAATTTCTTATGACGATCGCGGCTTGCTCGACTCGCCCGACATTATTCATCGGGCGGAATTCCGAATAAAACAACCGACGCACGGCGGAATCACGTTAAAAGCTTTCTGGCTCTTTTCGCCAAAACGATTCTCCACGCTTCTCTCTTTCTCGTCCCGTCCGATACGTCTCTCTTTCTTCCTCCGTCTTTATTTATCTCTTTCTTTCTCTTCCTCTCTCGCTCTCTCTCTCACTGCCTATCGTCACTCTCTACCCTTTCACCTCCCGTCTACTTTCCAGTTCCTATCCATCTCTTTAGCTCTCTGTAATCCAACATTCCGGCATTGAAAAGCGCGCGCAAGCGAGCGAACGAACGAACGGACGCTGAAGCTGAAACACGGCGTGCGAAACGAAAGGGACAGTAGGAGGGGGGAGGGGGAAGGGCAACGGATGAAGCGGGAAGAAGCACCTTGGAAATAAATTTCACAGCACAGTTCATGGAAAGTGCCGGTAGCCGTTAACGCAACACACCGAAATGCTCTCTCGTTCTCCCCGTGTGAGTGTAATAGTGAAACAAGAGTTGATACTGGATGGGGGGAGGCGAGGGTGCGAGGTTCTCGGATAAAAAGGATTAATTGCTTCCACCGTCGTTACCCCTTTTCCCCGGTGAAAAGCCGATACAATGGCTCATTATCGCCCAAACTTCGAGTAAGAAACGAACGCGATCGAGGCGAGAGATCGATCGAGAGAAATATTTTCGCTCGTATTCGACGGATGAGACTCGTGTCGGTGATCCGCGTATTACGTAATCTTCCGTAAATACATAATACTCTTTTCTGCATTAACGTAAAATCCCACGCTTCTGCGAATGATCGGCAAAATTTCGGCTCGAGGACACAACCAGACGCAGTCTCGTCGATACTTGGCATTCTGTTTCCGCGGTTTCTTAAATTGGCCGAAATCGGCGCGCTATTACCATCGATCGCTCACCGTGAAACATCGGGACGGGAGCGAATACGCCGATATGGGTTCTCGTGTGGCGAAAGTGAATTTTCGAAATCTGCTTGGTTTAGGCGCGAAGACGTGCCGGGAATGTCGACTGTCGGCCGGGGGCTGTTGCTGCCGGTCAAATTTTTATCACGTTTGTTCACGAACTTATTGGCCGGGATAGAGGCGGTCGATGCGATCGCGGGCGACACGGTGTCTGAAGCGCGATTTATACTTTGCTCTGGTGAACCATTAGAGAGACGCTGATTACCGTTGGTATTCTCGCGGATGACACATTTATGAGCGAAATAAAAGCCCGACAATGGACGACATGGGTCGCGACGGAGGGCAATAGCGCGTTGGAAGACAAGTCGAGCCTGTGCGGAATAATGTTTCCTCCTCGGGCGGAGCGTCGTTATGAACGTAAAATCGCTTCGAGCACAGTGCACGGAGAACGAATCGGGACGATCGCACGAAGAACTGCCGTGAACTCAAATTCGATGTGCCATTGATGAAACGCAGGAACATACAGACTCGATGTCGCGCTATTGTGCTTAATGGGGTTGTAAGGCGAAATAAGTTTGATAAGAATTCGATAACACTTGCGCTACGCATACATTGAAATATTATCTAGCTGCTCGTATGATTAGAAAAAAATTGGCCATTCGGGAGCTGAAATATTTGCAGATAAAGTTGACACGTTCGTTTCAAACTAAAATTTGTTATTAGATGAATAAAATGTATGTAGAAACGTAATTTTGCTTAAGATGAATACTAAATTTGTGAATAGTGATGCGCCACTGAAAATACGACACTGTGCCCCGCGATCTCTTTTATATAATTTCATATGACAAATATGACGGTTGAAGTAATTAATTTAATTACATCTGTAATTTATTTATTTACGTCTGTAAGCTCATACGATGATTTAATTTTTTGTTTCAGAGCACCGGATGGGGAGAATGGTCGCCATGGTCGAAGTGGTCGCCATGTACGAGGTAAGCCGTATCTCCATGAACGTTACACCAACTCAATTATAATCTCCGCGCTGTGCAAATTTCATTTAATACTCTCAATTAATACTACATAAAGCATAATCATTCTCGTCCGTCTTCTCGTTCGTGCTTAGGAGGTTGTCGTCGAACTCAATCAAGTGTTCACTTGAACTTACTGTTTCAAATATAATTTTAAGTCGGTGATATATACCAAGGATGGAGAACAGAAATTTCTTTCGAGATTGTTGAAAATCTTTTCATATAGTTGTCTCAACGTTCCGTACATAGTTTCATGAGAGAGGAATGTCTAATAAAAATATGTAACCGTAAATGTACCAAATTTTCTATTTCTCGACGCGTGTGTGTGTGTGTGGGAAATATGTGACACTCTGTATACGCTTCCATATTCCTGGAGGAAATGCGCGATACACGAAGAATGTCGCATCCGCCATATGTGCACGGCTATTGTTCGGCGGCAATGCGACAAAGGGCGTCTCGACGGTGGCCCGTCGTCCGCATGCAAGGCATGATCCAATCCCGCGATTTCTCATCGCCTGTTTCGCGCGCGCGGTCTAATATTGAGTCCTACCGATAACACAGCCGGAATGTTAAGCGTCCTGGAACTCATTTCGGTCGGCCACCGCCGGCAATAAGTTTGTTCCCCGGCCCGACTCGTTTTTCCAGTTGCACAGAAGTGGCCGGGAGAAACGCGGGAGACGCAGCGATTTATGGCACTTACAACTTGCGAACTGCACTCGGCCGGAGAAAAGCTTTATTGTATGATCTACAGCATCGCGCTATTGATGTTTCCGCGCCAGCTGCGCATATTTTCGCGCGAAACTTGCCCCCCCCCCTCATTCTTTCCTCTTCCACCCTTCTTCTCGCGCTCCGCCTCCTCGGCTATTATAATTTCCGATATCGCTTAAATAATACAACCTGTGTAATAATAACCGATAATAATAACGACAACGAGCAACAACAACGAATATCGATCGCGCGAGCAACGGTTGCGTCGCGGTGATTTCGCGCGTTGCTAAAAGCGCGATCGCTCGTGGAAATTATCGTCGCTGTTGACGACGATCAGCCGCTCGCGAAGTCGCTACGGCGCGAATTAGCGGAGCGAACTTGTCGCGCTTGAAAATCCCACGCGCTCTTATCGGCAGGAAAAATTAACGCGCCCCGCGTTGTTATTCACGTGACTATTGAACTCTGTAATTGGGAGTGATCTGTACGTAGCATAGGCGCGCGTGTCCGCCCGCTCGCGCGATGCGTTATTATTCCGATCAACTAATTGTTTGCGCATCAAAATTATCGTTCGCATCGGATAATTGCTATTCGCGCGGTATGATGCGATCAACGTGAAAATTCCTCCTCCGAATTTCGATTCGGGAGCTCAAGAAAAGCTAATTTTGCGTTCACTCGATTAGAATCATTTTCGATGTCAATCAGCGCTTTGATCTCCGCGACCTTCCGAAATGTGACGGCGCGCGCGGTTCGCAATGATGACGACTTTCACCGTATCGCTGTGAACTGTCGCTCGCGAGGGCGATCTCGTTTGCACATAGCGAGCGAAGGGCCGCGTGATTTACAAGTGAAACGTATACAACGACCGTTCTCCATTAGCCTCGTTTTTTCTTTCAATTCTTCCAGCTCACACTCCTTTCTGAAAATTTCCCGATGCGGCTGACTTTTTTCTCCTATTTTTGTTCCTTTCTTCTTTTCTCTCCGGCAAAGCGAAATACGGAGCTCTGTCTGAAATTTTCGGACGACGTTCGCGCGCGGAATAATGGAAAAATGTCTAAAAATTGAATAATTACGATGCGATATCTGCGAATCGCCCTTCCTCACCCTCTCTCCCAGCAAATCCTCTTAATCTTCACATATCGCCGAAACGAGAACGAAGTTACGGCCGGCGTGATTCGTTGCGTCGCTCCTCGTTTCGTCCTACTTCGTACCTAGTGCCGCGTCTCGAAATCTCTCGACCCGCAATCGCGGGAGAGGCCGCGAGATTATTTACGGTTTATTGTTTCGAGCGCGGGGAGGATTTTCGCGATTCGTACGGAAACGTCATAATTGGCGGGAACACTTCATATCGCGAACGAGCTCCGCGATAGCGAGTGTGCTTCATTGCCGCCACCGCCGCCGCCGCCTCCTCTCGAGCGAAACCAACTTATACTTGTTGGGGGTAACGCAATTTCCAGCGAATAAAGATCGCTCATGGAATTAGCGTGAAGTGGTAAATTGAATTAACTAACCGCGTCGCGCCGCCGGCGTTGAAACGTAATTAAACTCTTGACGATTTCTCTCTCTCTCTCTCTCTTTCTCTCGAAGCGCCTTGATTATGAAAAGTTTATTGGATAAGCGTGTCCGAGAAACACACCCGGCCCATGCCCAAGTATTAGGGTTGCTAATAATATGCACCTTATCCACATTTTGGCCTCCCATTCTTAACGGTACATTCAAATTCTTTCAAAATTTCACGATAAGCACGCTAAATGTTAATAAATTTAATTAGTAAATAGGTTATGTAATGATAAATCACGCCCACGAACAAGGTGGCGATGTTTATTCAACCTGAAAAGAAACGACATTACTTATGGGTACCCCTAATATATTCAAGAGGTACGCACAGCCCGCTGTGCCGTCATACTTAATTTGCCGATAGATTCAACCTCCTCCCCGCTCTTTTTTCAGGTCTTGCGGTGGCGGGATTTCGCGACAGCAGCGACGATGCAGGCGAAAACCGTGCAAAGGCAGGGTCTGGACGACCAAATATAAAATCTGCAATCCGGAGGTGAGTGAGTTCTTTCATCATTTACAGATGTGATTTTCACTGAATTCAAACAAGTAATAAACTTAGCTGCGGTAGCAGCGACATTAACTGTCTCTATTTCGCACACATATTTCAGCTGTCTAGATCACAGCTAGACTTTAGCTTCTATGACTAATTTTTATTCCGAGTATAAAGACAGGACGACCTGTCGGTTCGCGACGATGTGCTCGCATCGTTGGGGCGATATTTGAAAAAAATGTTGACCGCTCTCGAAAATCAGTCTTCCGATTTCTCTGCTGTACAACAAAAAAGATCGACACCAAATTGATCAAAGAGTTCTGAATTCGGGAAATCTGGGTCGCGCCGTACAAGCGACGAAGTACGCAGCGATAAACTCTCTCCCTCTCTCTCTCTCTCTCTATGAATATAAAATAACTCTTTCACGTTGCGACTGTGATCGCGCGTGCACATCTGAACGCGCGCGTTTAAACGTGAACTCTCGGTCGACAGATGAAAGTAGACGTTTGCACGGCGAGCTTCGCGCCACGTCGCGTTGCGATTCGCAGTACGTTCAGTACGTTCTTGCGTATCGATCGGACGTTTAATCGTATTGCGTTTTAACAGCGGGCGTCGCTGTTTCGCGCAGTTATCGCACGGGGTGATTGCGAATTATCGTGCGGGACGCGCGCGCGTTCTCGTGACACAATGACGAGTAATAATGGAAACGAATTGCGCCGATTGCGCGAGACCAAATGACATTCATTGTCGTGAATCGTTCTTAAATATTTCAGCCCGCGCGACTCGCCGGTGTAGATCCGCCGGCGTCAATATTACATCGGCCGACATGTAATTTGGATACATGATAAATTTGATATCGGGCCCGTACGATAGCAGTGTGTCTGTGTGTGTTTCTCCCCCGTGTGTAAGCACGTTCTGCACCGCGGCTACGGCCAATACGCACACTCTGCTGCAGTAACTGGGAGGGTAGATCCAATGGGACGTGGGCTTCCAGGTGACCTGACCCACATTCGTGTATCTGGGCCGAGTTTCAGAGAAAAGGCAATGCGGCTACGTGTTAAACAGTAGTTCCGCCGCGTACAGACGTGTGTCGTACACGCAGTCGGTCACAGGACGGTTGCGACGGTTTTTTCTTTTTTTTTATATATTTCGAAACACACGAAAAATACAACGAGGCGAACCTATGATTTTTACGAACATGCGCAGCAGATAAACGACTGTCGAAATTACATGTACACATCGAAAGTATGTAAGGAAATAACTGTTGCTACCGGTCGACCGTACTCCCGTCTGATCGATATCGGCCAGCCGACGATCGTTCCCTCGTCTCTATTTGTTTCGCAGGACTCGGCTCGGAAAGAATCGAATGTATGGTATATTTAAACGGGAGTTATATTTATGGTAGGAAACGCCATACGCCGTGCGAATCCAACGATGTAACCCCCGCAAATCGAGAGACGCCCGAAGAGCTCATTTATTCACGAGCATCGACGGATTATACTTTGAATCGCTCGCCATGCACTCATCTCGTATTCGCGTGTCGCGGACGGAGAAGCGGACGGTAGCGTCTGAGTGTAAAATTTATCGTGTTTCGCGCGTCGACGTTTACATAGTTCCGAATAATTGCTCCTTCTTTTTTCTTTTATCTTCGTTCCCTCCACTTGCGCGACACAAATCGCAACTGTACTTCGATCGCCGACGTGTACGTTTCATTCTACAACATCTTCGATACCTTCACGGCTGCCGTCGAGTATGTCTTGCTGTCATATGTGACTTTGACTTTGACCTCACCGACGATTACCATCTTATTATGACACGTTTTTCTCTATATAATAACGACATATACAATGATAAAATGTTAATTTTAAGATTCTTCACATGTCCCAGAAAGTTCACTCCAAATTTTAATTTGAACTAACTCGTCGTGTGTTATTAGTTATTCAGAAATTGAAAGTGTCAGCGCTGCCAATTCAACGCTGCCAATTCAAACACTTAAATCTGTTACCTTTTCTCGACAAGTTACTGAAGAATTCATTGTCGTCCAGAATGGTCGTCACTTCACAGTTACTTTTTCTCATGAGTTGCCGTGAAATTTCGACCGTATTTGAAGAGCGGCATACTAACAGCGAAATTTTGCGTTGCGTGCCGTTTCATTATTATTCGTTTAATTGTGCAGGTGCGACTCGTGACATGTTTGTTAAACCATGAAAATGGATGAAAACCAAGATCAACTTAAGAGGAATTTTATATACGTAGCAGCATATTTTTCGTTCCTTTCAATAGCCACAAAACCATGTGTTTTCCTACATAAATAAGGCCTTATTTCACATACCTTTCACGGCTATTTATTGACCGACCAGGTGAAAAGGTAAACGGGAGTTTTCGTCCATTTTCACAAGCGTCTGCGAGCGATCTCAAGTGTGTTGTTTTATCCAAATATCTTTTCATTTGCAAATGGCACGCAATATTTCTCAACGTGTCTCTTTCTCGCCTGTGACGTCACGAATCCAATATTGCCGACCACTCCGGAGCCTTAAATATGTACGGCATAAAACACGGTCGAAGCGAGCTAACCCGCAGAGGCGGGCGGAAACCGTTTTTTTCGCCGCGATAAGCGCGGTCTTCAACTGAGCTCGAACGCGAAATTAACGCGCGAGCTGAAGATGATAAACCGTCGCACCGCAGTTAGCGATTTAATCTCCAGTTAGGCGTCGAGCGCGCGTCTCTCGTTACGTCGAAATTTCGAACAAATCAAACGCGTCCATCGTGTGTGACGGACGGCGGGATCGATCGCGCACGTAGATCGTGCGACTGTGTGCGTAGCCGGCAATGATATGACGCGCGACGCTGATTCTTCCCGCGAGTGCATTTGACGATACCGAACGCGCGCACGGCGATGCCGTCGGTATCAGTTCCTGGTGCGTGACGTATCAATCAGTCGCCGAAGCGCGACCGACCGGTGGTATCTATTTGCGAGATCATCTTCTATCGTTCGTCGCGCGACGACGAGGCGCGCGCGTGTGACTTGTGCGGAATTCGATGCAACACGAGAGAGACGTTTGCCACCTAGCTGGAGATTCGATTGCTACTTGATAGGGAAAGAGATTAATTAACCATGAACGTGTGAAGTTTTATCGAATAAAATCGATCTTTTTCACATATACTTTTATAATCAACTTATTGTATTATAAATTCACATTATTCGAATAATCATTATCGTCTGGCAGATTTAACGTGTTTTTGCGTTTTATCATAGGGAACATTAAAAATTAAATATTATTTGTTAGAGAGAAAATCTCCGGCTTTTTTATTGAACTTTTTCTCTACTGACCGTAGTTATTTCCTTTATCGTCTTCATTTTAAATAATCTCCGCGCTGATTCAGCGTTTCTTCGCCGCGCGGAGGCGCGCATTTCAAATTTCCGTCGCGGAACGTCGATGATACCGACGACGTTTGTCGCTCCGCGAGCGATCCGATTAACGCGTCCGTCCCGTTAACGCTCGGCGACGACGACGACGACGCTCGACCCAAATTGACGTCATTAAGCGACGTTTCGGCGCGGATCTCGCGGGGGATCGCTCGCCAGCACGGAGTTCTACCGCTGTAAAATCGTAAAAGTGGAAAAGCGCCGTAGGTCCCAGATGAGGGACGCCTTTGTCGCCGGTCGCGCGACGACCGACGTGACATTCCGCCCACGGGGCGATGCAACGGGGAGAGGTGCATTCTACGTGTGTTCGCGAATACGAGCACGCGGACACGTACACACACGACACGCATACTCGCGAGCGCGCAACAAAGGTATCGGTCCACAAAGCCGCGTCGATCTTACAAGCGAGACGCCGCTCACCCTCCTCTTTTCGCGTTACACCGGCCGCATACGTAACGCGTAATATCTTTCACTTAACCGAGACGTTTTATTGTGCGACGGCCCGTTGTCGATGCCTGACTGAACTCGCCTCCGCGGACTCACCGCGTTACGAGGATAACGCAAAGCGTACAATGTTAACCGTATATCGGCGAGGTTGGAGGTACAAGTTGAAATAAGAGCCCTGCGTAATTACAAGGGACATTTCGAGGCACGTACCTTGAATTTGAAGATACCTCGAGGTACGTATCTCCAAATTTGGACTCGAAATGTCCCTCCTAATTACGCGGGGCTTTTACTTCAACGTGTACCTCCAACTTTGGCGATACATAGTTAACAGTCGAAGACGTATCGGCACCGCGCATCGGACAAATCGTCGGTCGTTGCTTTCCCTGGTGTGTGCAAATTAGCTCTCTCCTTTCCTTACCTCCTTCGGTAATCGCCTGTAAAATCGAGCGTCGACGATCTTCGAGCGCCGAAGGGATGACGACGAGCGTGGTGGAAATTTTAATTATCTCTCGTTTCCGCGCGCGACGCGCTCGCTTCATCTCGCCAGCTCCGGCTTAGCCGGCCCAGTCGGCAAGAACAATCGCTGTTTCGCGTCGATTTCTCATCGACGTGTGAGATTTGTCGCGTTTCTTTCCATGCGTCGAAACGACGCGGATTTTGTCCCATCATTGCGAGACATCTCTCATTCAGGCTGATGGACAATTTCCCGCGAGCCATAATAGCGAGCCGCTTCGTTCTCTCTCTTTATCTTTCTTTCTCTCTCTCTCTCTCTCTCTCTCTCTCTCTCTCTCTCTGTGCTTTTTATGATGTCACATCCAATCGACGATCGTGATTGGCCGATAGCGTTCGACCTCTGTACAAATGACCCCTCCTGTGATCCCGACAATTCTGACATTATCGATATCCTCGCAGCTATTGCTTCCGCAAATGATGTGATTTATTATCATCCGGCGAGAAGTGGTAACAATTTTCCCGCCGCGAAGGAGAGAAACGCGCGGACCCGTTTGCGGGGACGATCGAGCGACGCGACGTTATGTAAAAACGAGTGTGTACGCGACGCAGGATGAAACGGGGGTAATGGCGGTCATCTGAGCAGAAACTCTCGTGAAACTGTCGTGAGAAATGTCGG